GGCCTCTATTGATCTTGTACTGAGTGCCTGTTCTTGTGCTGCCATGATTAGTGCCTCTGTGCTGTGCCAGTGCCCCTTTAGAAATAGTCATGGCCCCTGTTATGGCCCCTGTACTAAAGACACAATACAGTGATTTTCTCATGATGATCTGCTCTGGCACAGAAAATGAGAAGTTGAACCGTTTACATTCAGTACTTTTTAAGAGCTGCTTCAATGATGATTTAAAAAAAAAGAGGAAAGGACCACATTTTTCCTCTTCATCGTCCAGCACCAGAGCTGCAACTGGCTCTGTGGCTCACTTAATTAACAGTTTCCTACAAAAACCTTTTAGCTTTACATAAAAAAAAAGAGTGGATTTTTTTAGAACTGGGGTAATAACAGGGGCACTGGACCCTTTTGGCCCCTATCTAGAACCGCCTATGGACATCAGTGAACTGCACTAACCCCACATAAACAAATATCTCTGGAACACAAAGTACTGTGATACCTACTACCAGCACAGCTGTAGGAGGCTTTATATTTTGAATTAGGAAGATGAAGCCTATTTTAAATAGAAGAAGATCAGAAGGGGATGTGAATCGCTGACAGGCATTGAGTTACCATCATGTAGGTTTGTCTGCTGAATCTTTAAGACTGTTGTTTTACACTATCTGCACCTAACATATATGATCACCTAATAATAATAAAACTCTGTTTTACACACTAATAAAGTTCATGGAAATAAAGATCTTTAATGTCTGACCTTTCAGTCTCTAATGTTAGGGTATTGTGTCATTGGTTAAATGGTTTGTTTAAAGAAAAGTGTGAGAGGAACAAAATCAGTGGTGGGTTTTCATTGTATCAAAGATATGTTGTAGAAAGAGAGTGTTGCGATCCATTGTCGCTGAAGACACACCCCTCCGGCATTGGTTTTAAAAAGACTAGCTTCCCATATTAGCGTCCTGTTTAGCTGGTGGCTCTGTGGCGCTAAAAGGCTAGGCAAGAGCTTCCAGCTGGAGGCTACACCACGTAGCAAACAAACCCCTCAGGAGAAGTCTGCGTTTGCTGGACCGAGTCAGAGTGCCTTTTTCCTGTTAATCAGAAGGAGCTGAACGCAGTGTTTTTATTCTCCCTGCTATTCAAACTGAGGGAACACAGTGTATCCTGAATCCTGCTGCAGCAGAGACAGAAGAGCTAATCCAGCTCTGCTAACTGCCAAACAACGGGGGCCCCAATCGCTGTTTGCAGAAGGAGCCGTTAGAGGGAGATGCTGAGCAGCACAGAGGAGCTGCTACAGGCTGCGGCTACAAGCTAACCACCATAGCTAATACGGGAGAAGTCCCCTGTGCTACCGTGAGTTATAAAATGAACCCTCTTGTTGTTGCATCGGATCTATCCAAATCTCTTTGAGTTGCTGTTCGATGGA